CACACACACACACACACACACACACACACACACACACACACACACACTGGCAGCCTCACAGGAAAAAAACAATCATACACAGGTGAATTAGGCAAGATGTACAGCTGGACCACCTTTAGAACCCTTCTACCACTCACCTTAAGGAGCCGGAAGATGAGCCTCTGGTGCATCTTAGAAAGAACAGGAAATCCCTTCTTATTGGTCAGAAAAATGCTGGTGGGCAGAATGGCTGCTTTGATGGGCTCCCCAAGCCAGCGATCAATGACATGATTAGATGGGAGGTCAGCCCCAATTTCAAGAGCTACATGAGCGAGGCAAAAGAAAAACTGTCAACCACTGCTAGTCAAGACACTCTTCCTTGCTCCTTTGTGCAAAATCTGTTTACTTCTTTAAGAGAAAGGCAGTCTGAGATAGTGGGAAAGTAGCAAAATTGTATACTATACACAAAATTCCTAATTCTTATTTACAGGTCAGAGAAGTGACACCCATCCCAGGATCCTCATGGACTCACCTACTGCAATCCTCTTGCTGTAGTCACACAAAGTCCGGAAGTTGTGCCACCTGTTCAGAGTCAAATACAGAAAAGTATAGTCAACTACATATGGCCAACCAATCACCATAGCTCAAGGAGACCTCCCTAAAGGTTCTGCTCTGTACTTCCCCTCACCCTATCCCTTGCACCCTGGTACAGCAGCAAACGGAGACATACCACATCCATGTCTTCTCCTCCCCACTGTACTCCTGTGTGTGTGTAATTGGTGCATTCTCAATTATATCATCTCTCAGGTCTTCTGCTGCCACCAATGGTACCCGCATCCAGAACTGCACATAAACATTCACCCTTTTAGAACTCTCTTTTGAACTGATTGGGTCCAGAAAGTTTCCCTCAATTAAAAAAAATCTTCATCCAGACCTCGTTAATCCCTTTATATGCTTTTCCCAGTTTGTCATTTTGTAAGTGAACGTGTACCTTAGTATAGGTCCTTATGTAAATATCTGCCTTGTCTTATGTAAGTTTCTAAAATAATTACATTTACATGTTCTGAAACTCTCTTCATACCACTTTTAGATGGGGCAGGGCAATCTGACCTTTTTTTTTGGGACAAGGTCTGGCTCTGTCATCCAGACTGGAGTGCAGTGGTACAATTTCAGCTCACTGTAACCTCTGCCTCACAGGTTCAAGTCATCCTCCCATTTCAGCTTCCCAAGTAGCTGGGACTACAAGTACGTGACACCACACCTGGCTAATTTGCATTGTGTTGTGGTTTTTGTATTTTTTATTTTTTTGTAGAGACGGGGTTTCACTACGTTGCCCAGGCTTGTCTCAAACTCCTGAGCTCTGCAATCTGCCCATCTCAGCCTCCCAAGTGGGATTACAGGCATGAGCCAATGTGCCTGGCAATACTTATATTTAAATTCTGCCAAACACAACCTTCACTGAATGGCTAGGCACAAAAAGGCACTTAACACAATCTGACTACCATGATATGCAGCAGGAAAAGAGCCTCTCAGCTATACCATGGAAGAGTGGTGGCCAGTGTGGATGTGGTTGGTCAAAACTCTGGCCAGATTGGTGTTATCTTCCTGATTAAGGGGCAGCAGGAAAGCTGGAAGACCCAAATATGCACCAAAATTCAGCTCCTGTAACATGGCCTGAAATGGAGATAAAAAGGAAAAGGTTGAGCTAACAAGCAAATAGCTTTCTTTTCTTTCTTTCTTTTTGAGACAAAGTTTCACTCTGTCACCCAGGCTGGAGTGCAGTGGCACAATCTCAACTCACTGCAGCCTTGACCTCCCCAAGCTCAATTCATCCTCCGACCTCAGCCTCCTGAGTAGCTGGGACCACAGGCATGCACCACCATGCCTGGCTAAGTTTTGTATTTTTTATAGATAGGGAGTTTCACTATGCTGCCCAGGCTGGTCTCGAACTCCTGAGCTCCAGTGATCCTATTGCCTCAGCCTCCCAGAGTGCTAGGATTATAAGTGTGCATCACTGCTCCCAGCCTAATAGCTTTAATTTCATTGTTTCAATTGATCTACCAAGTTACTGGGGGTGGGAGGGGGCCACTCTCCCCACCCAGCTTGGTTACAGACCTAATCATTAGAAAGATCCAGCAAAGAAGTCAAACAGTCTTACCGCCTCGGAGTTCCTGCGAATCTTCTCCACTTTTGAGTCTGGACGAATCCATGGAGAAAGCTTTCCCACAATTAGCGTATTCCAGTCTGCACTCCCCCACCCAAGAAAGACAAATACTGAATAAGGTTCAGCACTTTACTTGTTCAATTTTTAGTTTTTAGCAGGAACTCAAGAGTAGAAATGAGAGACAAAGGTTTTTTTCTACATAGACGCGGGAGAGCCTGGTGCAGAATAGAGAAGGAAGGAGAAAACAAGTTATCTACATCCCAGGGACTAACAAATATATCCAAGTTAGAAAAGGAGGAGAATGAGGGCCCTGATAAAGCAGAAGTTGTTATTGCCTCTAATAATTAAGGGGCATATGGGATGGTCCCTACCCCTTCCTGACAGCAGTAGGTCTGATCGTGTCTGGGGGCCAGGCCGATTCTTAGCAGGTTCCTGAATGAACTCCCTCTTGAAACGCGGATGGAAGACAGGCATGCAGAGGAAATCAAACCTACAACCGCGACAGACCCAGAATCATGTAAAGAGAGCAGCAGTGCCAGAGAGCCAAGCAACTGGATTTAGGCTATCTTGATTTTCCACAGCCCTTTCAGCTGCCATCAGTTCACCCCACTAGGCTGCTGAGTTCAGACCACCTTGGGGGATATCACTTCTGCTGTACTGTGCCTCAATTTCTCCCCAAAACACAGCCATGGAAAATTTAAGGAGAAAACGATGGAAATCCACAAGCAGAATTTTTTTCTCCTCAAGTGTCACTGTCTTTCCAAGACCATCACATCCTGATTTGCCCCAGTTCCGCGCATGCCTCCCGCGTCAAAATTAGCCTCTCTCCCTTGCCCCCTAAAACCTCCTCCCACCCCCAGACAATAATTGCGACCTCCAGGGCCCTTTTGTGTTTACCCGACAACTCCCCCAACTTTTGGACTCAGTGACCACAGGCCCCCCATAAGCTCTTTTCCTCACTTTCCTGGGTCCAAGGATCCTCCCCTCCAAAGAGTAATAGTCTCTCCCGCCCTCATCCTAGCCGACCCCCTCACCCCTGCTTCTCCGGGATGACTAGTCTGCCCTTCTCCGTCCCCGAGTTCGGACCCAGCATTCCGCTCGTGGAGATCCGGCCCTCACCCCTGCTTGGCCACAGCCCCTAGTGTGTCAGCTATTTCGGGGACGCAATTCAGGTCCCTCCCGCTGGACACGCGGCTCCCACCAGCACTCCCGACCGCCATCGCCGCCATCTTTTTCCTCGCGCTGTCCACGCCGGGATTCCTTGATACTAGTAGCCAATCACAAAGCCGAACTAGAGCTCCCCTCCACCCCCCCAGAAGGCGGGACGAGTCGCCTTAACAACCAGAGCGTCTGCCACCGCTCCTGAACGGGAGAGAAGGATAGTGGCTTTTCCCGCCAATCCGCGGGCTGCACAGTGGCCCACGGCGTGGCTCCTGCAGATCCACCAATCTCAGGGTCTGGTTCCTGATGAACTTCAATCTCCCAGAATGCTTAGTGCAACAGCCGAGTGCCGTTGGGAAACTACACCTCCCATGAAACCCTGCAGTATAACCTTGAACTATCAGCACGGAGCCATACATAAGTACCTCAGGGCCAGTGGCGCAATGGATAACGCGTCTGACTACGGATCAGAAGATTCCAGGTTCGACTCCTGGCTGGCTCGGTGGGACTCGTTTGCATTTTGCTGCATGAGCATTTTCTAATTTCCCTTTCCTATCTCAGTTTGAAGCTTTTTTTTTATTATCTTCACTCTTTCATTTTCAGGTCCTAGGTTGGCTGGGTTCCGCAGTCATCTAATGTCAGGTTTTCCCGTAACTACCTTCAGAGGTGTTTTTCTTGTGTCAATTGAGAAAACTGGGTTAATGGCTGGTGCTATTAAAATGGGCTTTGTCACTTTACAATGCTACATATTAAAATAAACTGTGGTAACTCAGCTACTACTTCCTAGTGAGTCTCTGTTTCAAACACAAAAGGTGTAAATAAACGCCTAAACACACACACACCTCAAGATGGAGAAAAGGAATTCACGGTAAGGAATTTCAGTGGGCAGCAGTCATGAAATTGCCTGGCGTGGAGGCCCGAGAGAATCTACATTTTCCCATGTCAGTAGCTGCTATAGAGATTGGAAGGAAGGAAGCAAGGAAAGGCATAGGGAGGGAAATGGGAACTCCTGAAGGCAGAGGGCTCACTGGTGTTGAGGGCCTGGCAGCAAGGATGAAGAAGAGAACACGATACAAAAGTCCGGCCCCACGCAGGCGCCGCTGGCAGAACTTAGGGACCGACTGGCAGGGATCCCTGAGAAAGAAAAGCCAGGGGTGATGCCTAAGATTCTGCCTATGCAGTGAGCTAGAAATGAGAGAAGCGGGTTTAGGAAGTCAGGGTTTGGGTTTGGTCATGCTGAATTGAACGTCTAGGGGGCGCTGTGTAATAGAAAGTTGGATGAACAGTGATCTGAACCATATGAGATGGAGGTCGCCAGAAAAAAGGAACTGAAGCCATAAGACTTGAGATCACCATCGCTCGTGGGGGACCGAGCCATAGGAAATACGGAAAGGCTGTGGGATAGGATAAGTTCTGGGGAACCCTGGATGCAATGCAAGTGCCTCAAAAGAATGAAAGTCGGAAAACCAAAGAACTAAAAAAATGCACCATGAAGCCTGAAGGGATTGGAGGTGCTTTTTGTCCACTATTATCATTACTATTATTATTATTATTTTTTTTTTTTTGAGACGGAGTTTCACTCTTGTTACCCAAGCTGGAGTGCAATGGCGCGATCTCGGCTCACCGCAACCTCTGCCTCCTGGGTTCAGGCAATTCTCCTGCCTCAACCTCCTGAGTGGCTGGGATTACAGGCACGCGCCACCATGCCCAGCTAATGTTTTGTATTTTTAGTAGAGACGGGGTTTCACCATGTTGACCAGGATGGTCTCGATCTCTTGACCTCGTGATCCACCCGCCTCGGCCTCCCAAAGTGCTGGTATTACAGGCTTGAGCCACCGCGCCCGGCATTACTATTATTACTACCAGCAGACTTTTTTCTGCCCCAGGATCCCATGCAGGATATCATATGACATTTAGTTGCTATGTCTCCTTAGGCTCCTCTTGGCTATGATACTTTCTCAGATGTTCCTTGTTTTTGATGACCTTGGTAATTTTGAGGAGCACTGGTTAGGCATATTGTAGGATGCCCCTCTACTGGAATTTCTCTGTTTTTCTCATGATTAGACTGGGGTTGTGTTTTGGGAAGGAAGATCACAGAGTTAAAGTGCTATTTTTGCCAGGTGCAGTGGCTCACGCCCCTAATCCTAAACACTTTGGGAGGCCGAGGCAGGTGGATCATCTGAGGTCAGGAATTCAAGACCAGCCCGGCCAACATGGTGAAAACCTGTCTCTACTAAAAATACAAAAATGGGCTGGGCTTGGTGGGGCGTGCCTGTAATACCAGCTACTTGGAGGCTGGGGCAGGAGAATCACTTGAACCAGGGAATCAGAGGCTGCAGTGAGCCAAGATCACACCACTGTACTCCAGCCTGGGCAACAGAGTGCGACTCTGTCTCAAAAAAAGAAAAAAAAAAAGTGCTATTTTAATCACATCATATCAAGGGTACATACTATCAACATGATTTATGATTTGATGTTGACCTTGATCATCTGGCAAGAAGTAGTTTATCCGGCTTCTCCACTGTTAAGTGATTCTCTCTCACCCTCTCTCTGGCCCCAACTTTCCATACTGTATTCATTGGAAAGAAGTCACTATGCTCCCCCTCCTTAGAATTGGGAGTATCTACAGAATTTATTTGGAATTCTTCCCTCCAGGTCTTTTCAGTAAGTGGTGGTTCTCAGCAAGTGGATGAGTGCTGCACCAGCATTTTATGTGTGTTATATTATATTTTATTTTATTTTGAGATGGAGTCTTGCTCTATAGCCCAGGCTGGAGTGCAGTAACACAATCTCGGCTCACTGCAACCTCCACTTCCTGAGTACAAGTAATTCTCCTGCCTCAGCCTCCCGAGTAGCTGGGATCACTGTGCACCACCACACCCAGCTAACTTTTGTATTTTTAGTAGAGACAGGTTTTCACCATGTTGGCCAGGCTGGTTGCAAACTCCTGACCTCAGGTGATCCATCTCAGCCTCCCAAAGTGTTGGGATTAAAGGCGTGAGCCATGACACCCGGCCTCCACCAGCATTTTAAGAGGTAAAAGAAAGAGTTGTTGAGGAGGTCTGCTTTTTCTCTGCCCTACCTGTGCCCAACTAAACTCTACATTCACAGAAGATTTATTAGATGTTTTTTTCTTTAGAAGCTAATTGTCTAGATTGTGGACTATCTGTGCTCCTGGCATCTCACCCCTGATGTCAAGCTGGTAGCTGCCGTTGGTTGCTAACTAACTCATCATGGGTGAGAAGGAGAGAGGACAATCTATGCAACAATAATGTCAGTTTTGCCATCAGCTAAAATAATTTTCCAAAGGATTCATGTAAAAAGAGCCTAGAATTTCTGACTGACCCTAAAGTAAGTTTACATGGGCTGATTTCCTTTGGTCTGTGTTGTCTTTGTCTTTTCATTCCAAATGGCCTCAGCACTGTGGCTAGCATCATGCTGAACACTTCTCAGTAATTCCATACCACGTTGCTCTCCGCCTTTTCTATAGCATTTTCCTGTGCCATAAAACACAGCATGTTGGCTGGGCATGGTGACTCACACCTGTAATCCCAGCACTTTGGGAGGCCGAAGCAGGCAGATTACGAGGTCAGGAGATCGAGACCGTCCTGGCTAACATGGGGAAACCCTGTCTCTACTAAAAATACAAGAAATTAGCCAGGCATGGTGGTAAGCATCTGTAATCCCAGCTACTCAAGAGGCTGAGGCAGAAGAATTGCTTGAACCCGGGAGGCGGAGGTTGCAGTGTGCCGAGATCAAACCACTGCACTCCAGCCTGAGTGACACAGTGAGACTCTGTCTCAAAAACACTACCACCACAGTGCGTAACCATAGGTCTGTCTACATGAGTTGTAGAGAAGCAGGAAGGGAAGGAATGAAAAGAAGTAGAGCAGTTTGGCCAGGCGCGGTGGCTCAAGCCTGTAATCCCAGCACTTTGGGAGGCCGAGGCGGGTGGATCACGAGGTCAAGAGATCAAGACCATCCTGGTCAACATGGTGAAACCCCGTCTCTACGAAAACTACAAAAAAATTAGCTGGGCATGGTGGCACGTGCCTGTAGTCCCAGCTACTCAGGAGGCTGAGGCAGGAGAATTGCCTGAACCCAGGAGGCGGAGGTTGCGGTGAGCCGAGATCGTGCCATTGCACTCCAGCCTGGGTAACAAGAGCGAAACTCTGTCCCAAAAAAAAAAAAAAAAAAAAGAAGTAGAGCAGTTTGAACACATCCTGTCCCTAGGCATTAAGTCAAAGTTGGTGAAGTCTACCTTATGCTCTGCTTTGCTCTGCTCTGCATACTGAGCTTTTGGGACCAGAAGTATGTGAATTACTGTAATACTATGGGACTTTTGCCTCGGCTGAGGTGAATGAAGATAGGGAAATGGTGGGACAGAAGGGCAAATATGCTGGGTGACAAATAATGTTACTTTCTCCAACAGGCGCCAATGACCAACAGGCTGGAACACTGGAGACTTTCTGGAAAGGGGTACCCACTCTCAGATAATGCTCCCATCTATCCCCTTGCTCCAGCATTCCTCACTTTCAGCCCCAATTCTTCCACCTTATCTTGTTTTTTTGTCCTTATTTAAACACCTCTAGCCCATTGGAAAACTCTTTTCGTCTTCGTCCCCTCCTCCCTCAGCACTTGCCTCCCTCCCCAGGCCCACCTTCACTCACCTCTGTGCCTACCCAGCCAGCCACACTCTTCAACACCCAAAATAATGGCCCATTTGACCCTCCTACTGCTCCAGATTGCTTCTTCACAATCAAGGCTGTCCTCCAGCTATAAAAGTGGCAGAGTTACTGAGGCAAAATAATCTGTGCCTATTTGCATTATCTTTTTTGTCATCTCTATTATACAGTGTTTATCTGTCAAAATGAATAGAAAGCAGGAACTGTTCTGAACACAGAAAAAGATGGAAAACTACCCAATTTATGTATGAAGATTGAACACATCTAATATCAAAACCTGTCAGAAATTATACCCCCCAAAAAGCTATAGAGCCTCACTTATGGATATAAATGTAAGATTCCTAAAATATTTAGGATTATTAATAAATAAAACTTAACAGTATGTTAACATAGTAATTATATAAACCTAATTTACGTAAACCACTTAGGGTTTATCCCAATAATTAACACAAAGGTATTAGGAAATTTCTTTATAGGATAGATAAAAAATAAACCAAACAAAAAATATTTAATGGTTGTTAACTGTCAAAGAAGAGAATACAGTAAGCTAACTGCATTTTCTGTAAATAGTCTTTTTTTTTTTTTTGAGAAGGAGTCTCACTTTGTCACCCAGGCTGGAGTGCAGTGGCGTGATCTCAGCTCACTGCAACCTCCACCTCCCAGGTTCAAGTGATTCTCCTGCCTCAGTCTCCCAAGTAGCTAGGACTTCAGGCATGTGCCACCATGCCCGGCTAATTTTTTTTATATTTTTAGTAGAGACAGGGTTTCACCATATTGGCCGGGCTGCTCTCGAACTCCTAACCTGGTGATCCACTGGCCTTGGCCGCTCAAAGTGCTGAGATTATAGGCCTGAGTCACCATGCCCAGCCATAAATATTCTTAATAGTTTTAATATTCATTATATATGTGTAAATAAAATCAACAAGTTATATAAACATGAAATGAGCTGCCCTGCATGGTCGCAAGTGCCTGTAGTCCCAGCTACTCAGAAGGCTGAGAAGGGAGGATCCCTTGAGCCCAGGAGCTTGAGATCAGTCTGAGCAATATAGCATTAAAAAAAAAAAAAAAAA